TTTGAGCTTTTGTCATCTGCAGTTTTTTGGTACCACCAATAACATTTTGAACATCATCATCACTGTCCTGCTTTTCAATGCTTTCCTCTTTTGTTTCATGGTCCTCAACGATATCAATCTAGAAATTCGAAAAACAAAAATTAAGAGGAAAAAAAAGAGGTCCCCCGAGATGGCGTTTTTTTTTTTTTAAACTACAGGCCGGGATTCCCCATCTTCATTATTCCCAAATTATTCGGATCATGATGTGTTATCCATTACATCCACTGGTCAAGCCAGGCCAGCCTTCAAATACTTCACGTGTTCGTACGTGAGACATAAAACAACTGCTGCGATGATGCTGAGAAAAAACAGAGCGGTGAGTAACGGTCAAAACAGTACGTTGGTGCAGGCATGCAGTCCAGAGAAGCGACGATCGCTGAGCACCATCGATTTAATAACTCAAATTTGAGGTAAATATATTTTTCAGCCAGTTCCCACTGTCACAGTGATTACTGTGGCTTGAAGATTGAATTTTTTGGAACGCCCCGCACAAGCAGGGCAAAAAAACACGAAAAAGCTCTCTTCATGTCCATTCAGTCAAATGCCACAGTCGGCCATGCTCAGAAAATTTCAGCCCTCTAGCTGATCTGGTTCCGAAATTTCGAATCTGTTTATGTGAAATTTCCACTTTTAGCAATTGGAAGTTTACGAATTTGAATATATATAGCGCCCCACGTCATCAGCAAAAGACTTACATCCCGAGATTCTGCTGCATTTTTTCGCTGTATCTACGACAGCGGATAATGGAGGGGTACCCATACGCGATAAAACGAACACTGGGGAGACCTCCAGCACGATGGCGAGATCCAATCGTGCGCCTTTATGGTGTCACCTGGTCTCGTCAGGCTCAGGATCGATCGAAATGGAGAAGTTGCCAACTGACTGATGGAGTGACATCAGAGATCGATGAAACAACAGCTGTTCAAGGTATTCAAGCTAAGGTATCTACGGCAGTGTGTTTCCGAATGGCAAAATATCGCCCCCAGAAATGCGAAAAAAATGCAAAATTGGCTACGAAGGACGTAAAAAAATGCAAAACCAAAAAAAAAAATAAAGATTTTCGTGGTACCTGATCTTTTGTTAGTTCCTCAAAATTTTCGCGCACATATTCAATTAAAGTGAAGGTAACTGCTGTGCCAGCATATTGAGTTGCTTCAGCTAATAATCGCTCTTTGATTTTTTCTTTCACCTAAAATGTTCCTCAAAAATGATTAAAAATTTCACGGTACAAAAACCAATCATGATAATAATTACGATAAAAGTCACTATTTCTAGAAACTAAAACGCTCTCAAAAACGATCAAAATTTTACGATACAAAGATAAATCATAACAATAATTACGATGAAAATCACTATTTCTAGAAGCTAAAATACTCTCAAAAACAATCAAAATTTTAACACTTACAAAAATTAATCATACTAATGATCACGATAAAAATCGCTATCTCTAGAATCTGAGAGTTGGATTATGCAGTCAAATTCTTCAGAAAAACCTCATATCACAATAAAATTATCCATAATAAATGAGTTCTAGAATTAATCCATGGTTGTACTTCGGGGAAAAGCTCCGAATAAAAAAAACGTGCCTTAGGGAGGAGATGTTTGTTATAGAAAAGATCCAACGATATATCGGGTCCTCTTACAGGATATGTGTCTGGCCAGGAAATCTCCAGTAGGAATGATTTGCTGCCACCATCGTCGCCAAATTTATACTAAAACCTGTAAAACTGCACTGAATACTGGACAAAAAAGAAAATCTTTCGAGCTTGACAAGAGCGATTAAATCTCAGACCGAACTGTGTTACAATATCTAATGACAACTTTTATTAAAATCGTGTAAATGTACACTTTATTAATAGGTCTCCTATAAATTCACCTTTAATATGGCGAAATGGGGCACTGTACTGATGATTCCCCACTCCTATTTCGCAACAGTTTTGCCGTCTGTGTTTACAGCTTAGGGGTGAAACAACCAAATCCCCGCCCCTATTTCGCAACAGTTTTGCCGTCTCTGTGTTTACAGCTTAGGGATGAAACAAAGAAAGGTTACCAAGTCACTGTATATATACAGGCTTGCTTATTTGGGAGATCTTTAAATGGCACTACTTCCACTGTGTTTTCATATTAATTATCAAAATTCGA